AGTATTTTATTATTTTTAAAACTAAAACAACAACTTATTACTATGTATAATTTTTTTCTTATATTTATCTTTTTTAATATTATTTTGGAATTTAAAATAATATCATATTAAAATTGTAATAATATATCTTTTTGTATATTTTTATCAGTATTATTTCTATTTAGTTTATTGTTATTTTTAATTATAGTTTAAATTAAATTCATTTATAAAGATAAAAGTTATTTAAATTTATCAAATAAAAAGTTTAAAATATTTATATTTAATAATATAATATGTTTAAAAAATTATATTAACTAATATTTTTTATATTTATATAAAATAAATGAAAAAAGAGTTGTTAGTGTCATATTTTTTTAGTTTCCCTCCTAAACCCTAAGAGTGAAATTACTTTTTCAAAGGTGAAAGGTGAAAGATGAGGTCGGTGAAAGGTGCCAGCCCTCTCTTCCTCCGCGTACAAATCGCCAATACGCACGGCGCCTGAATTCATCAGCGTGGGCCTTCCACTGCACGAGTAAAGCTAGAATTCTGACCTGTATTCCTGGGATTATACATTATAATGATACTAAGATTCAGTTACTTGATCTTCCTGGAATTATTGAAGGTGCTTCTGAAGGCAAGGGACGTGGGAGGCAGGTAAAACTAAAATTTCTCATATCTATAATTCTGCATTTTGCACTCTAACTGTTCGTAGAAATGCTTGATCGAGGTTCTTTTATTTTGTCTTTCATTATTCTTCAGCATGCGTGCTTTGTTATTTAGTTCGGGCAAATTGGATAAACTTACAAAATTACATTAAATTAGTTATATATTTAATTTTAAATAAAATAAAATTAATTAAACCAATTATTTAATTTCCTTTTGCTCTTTGGTTTTCAATCTAACAAACTTCGCTTCCTTCATAGTATTCTTCAACTTGCAGGAATCTTACGAGGACCAGTTATATTCCTTATAAAGGTTCATAATCTATTTACTTTGATTCTTTCTCATGATTTTTTAATCATGTGTCTGCACCTAATAGCAAGTGATGAGTAAATATCATAAATTGCATTATAATATTAGAAATTAAAGAAAAATTATAATATTATAATATTAGAAATTGAAGAAAAATATTCCAAATATGCAACTGGGTCGCTTCATTATAATCAGAGATTAACATATAGTTGTGCTGATTAGTGTTATGTTTTTTAAGTCATATGTTTGATTGAATTGATATAGTGCATGTGCATTTGGCTTCACAGATCGGATTTTACTATTTTAGGTAATTTGATTAATATTTAATAATAACATAATCTATGGTAATTTGAGTTTTGAATTGGTTTTACATGTTGGAATTTTCTACAGGTGAATATGAAGAACCACCACCAAAGACAGAAGCAACAAGGCTACCACAGGGAACCACAGTTACAGGTACTGTTCTAAGCAATTTCATTCAATTGATCACTCTCTGCCTCTGGTTAATTGTGGCTGCTGGAGAGACAGCAAGGTGCAATGTTTGCGTAAAAGTTTTGGTAGGTATCATATATTCCATGGGCAAGATCATCATCATATCAAAAAGTCAAAACATGCGACAGGTGGGCCTGGGATGCAAGCTGTTTTCTTAGTCTCTGGGCAAGGATCATGTGGCACTGGAGTTTCCTTACCCCAAAAAGCAGGCACAAAACCAACTAGGAAGCCAGGTTTACACCTTGTATTAATTTCTTTCCTCGCAATGAGGTGTATCACTTTATATAGAACTAGTTTTTAAACTGAAAATTGTTGGTTGAAGTGTTGTAATTTTTTCTTTATCCAAATTGTTGAAAATCACAATGTAATAATTAATAATTATATATAGTAGTGAAATATTTCCTGAACTCTTGTATTTTACTTGTACATGAGAAGCAGTTATCAGCTTACGAACAAAGTAGTTCAGAAATTAACTAAAATTGGGTAATAATTAATAATTATATTCATTAAAATTGTCGTTCTTGTTAGCATTCTGGTAGTAGAGATTGCTGATCTTCTGATCTCAATTGCATATATCATGTATAAGTCCTTACTTCCTTTACAACTCTCATAAGTTAATTCATTTTTCTTTCTTCTCCTCTTCTCCCTTGTTCGTTGCTTTGGCCCCTTGGCTTATTTTATTCTGATCTTGAATTCTCCAATTGCCTACATCTTTTGTCAATGAACTACGTGTTCTTTGTACAGACTTCCCTCAAAACTCTTCTGCCTGTGCTAACAGTTCTAATGCTCTTACACTTCCCTGTTAGGAAAAGCTGGTGGCAAAGAAAAAAGTGACGATGAGATGCAAGGTGAAGAAGATGAAGAAGATAGTGACGATGAAGAAGATCAAGATGGAGAACATCAAGAGGATAGTGAAGACGAAGATCAAGAACTTGATTAGTCTCATAGTCTTATCTTATGGTGGTGTAGTATTCAGGTTGTGATAGATCGATACGGAATTAAAAGCTGCCATTGGAAATTTTTCATATGAAGCATTCAGTGGTTGGGCTGTACAATTCACATTTGTTAAAATACATAAATTTAGAGTAATCAAATGATGTTGAGTGTGACTACTTTTTCTAGTTTTTAATAATTATGTAGTTGATTTAGATTTATTTAAAATATCAAATTAAGTGGCATATCTACAGGGATTCATGAGAGAATAATGTATATATATAGATAAATTAGGAAGGTTTCGCAAGGTATTAGCGAGGGATTAGCGTGGTATTCGTGAGGGAACTCAATCCATATGCTTTGATGGATTTGCGTGGGATTAGCGAGAGATTTGCGAAGGACATATTTGCGAGGGTTTAGCGAGGGAATTGCGAAGGACATATTTGCGAGGGATTAGCGAGGGATTAGCGAAGGACATATTTGCTAGGGATTAGCGAGGGATTAGCGAAGGACATATTTGCGAAGGTTTTGCGACGTTTTAGCGAGGAAATATTAAATGCAATTAGCGAGGGAATTTAGGTTCTACATTTGCGAGGCGGTAACGAAGAATTAGCGGCACAAATTTGCGACGGACTAGCGAAGCAGGTTGCGAGGGAAAAGCGAATGAATGTAGCGAGGGAATTGCGAGGGATATGCATCCATCGCTAATTAGCGACTTGAATTTAGCGAGGGAATGATCCCTCGCAAATCCCTCGCTACTCCCTCGTTATTCTGTTCAGCGAGGGATTTGCGAGGGATCTTTCCCTCTCTAATTCGCAATTTTCTTGTAGTCACTGATTTGTCCACTGGAAATCCTTTGGTTTTTTTAGCAGAGTGAAGATTGGTCCTACCTTCTCCGCGAGCTTGGGAATGAAGCGGGACAGTGAGACTAGCCGTCCGGCTAGGCGTTGGACCTCTTTCACCATTTGTGGGCTTTGCATCTGGATGATGGCTTTGCACTTCTCGGGATTGGCCTCAATTCCTCTACTGGTAATCATGAAGCCGAGGAACTTACCCCCCTGGACACCGAAGACACATTTCTCCGGGTTGAGGCACATGTTATGCTTCCTGACCTGGGCGAATACTTCGGCAAGGTCGGCGGCGTGGTTTATTGCCGAGGTGGTTTTGACTACCATGTCGTCGACATAGACCTCCATGTTTCTTCCAATCTGTTGATGGAAGACCTTATCCATCAGCCGCTGGTAGGTTTCCCCTGCGTTTTTGAGGCCGAAGGGCATCACCCGGTAGCAGTAGTTGGCGTGGTCGGTGATGAAGGACGTGTGCACTTCAGCAGGTGGGTACATCATTATCTGGTTGTACCTAGAGTAGGCGTCGAGGAAACTGAGGAGGGCGTGTCCGGAGGCTCCGTTGACTAACCTGTCAATGTTCGGCAAGGGGTATGAGTCCTTGGGGCATGCTTTGTTTAGGTCGGTATAGTCGACGCACATTCGCCACTTCCCCGAGTTTTTCTTTACTAAGACGATGTTCGCCAGCCATGTGGTGTATCTGACTTCACGGATGAAGCCTGCGTTGAGCAATTTCTATGTTTCGACGACGATGGCCTCTCGTCTTTCGCCGCCGACCTTCCTCTACCTCTGGGCGACTGGTTTCGCCTCCTTGTGTATTGCTAGCTTGTGACAGATGAACTCGGCGTCTATGCCAGGCATGTCAACGCTAGACCAGGCGAAAAGGTCGGTGTTCTTGAGGATTGCTGCTTCGAGTTGCTGTCGCAACTCTGGAGTTAACTGCCTGCTGATCTTCGTGGTTTGTCCGGGGAGTTTCCCGATTTGGAGGTCGTCGAGCTCATCAACGGGGCTAGGTCGTTCGTCGTGAGCATCAGATCTTGGATCGAGATCGGTGATTTCTTCGTGGCTGGTGTGAGCCACTGTGGTAAGGTCGCTTTTGCACTGCTCGCCGAGTGAGGCGATTTTTAGGCTTTCTGTGTACCATTGTCGTGCCATCTGCTGGTTTTCTTTGATGGATATAATCTTCCCATCGTGGCCTGGGAATTTCATGGTGAGGTGCGGGGTGGACACCACCGCTTCGAGTTGATTCAAGGTTGGCCTGCCGATGATGATGTTATAGGAGGTGTCGGCTTCCACGAGGAGGTATTGAATCATGACTCGCCTTGAATCCGGAGGTGCTCCGAAAGTCGTTAGTAGGTCCACGTATCCCTGAGTGTGAATGCTTTTTCCTGTGAAACCGATTAGGGGTTCTGTGTGAGGTTGTATGAGGGAGTGGGGGACGTCTAACCTGAGGAATGTTGGCCAATATAGGATGTCGGCCGAGCTTCCTTGGTTGACCAGGGTCTTGTGAACCTCCCAATTGGCTAATGCCACGACTATGACCATGGGATCGTCCTGGTTGGGGTTGACCCCGGCATAATCATCGTCGGTGAAAGTGTTCACCGGCGAGTTCTGGTGCGAAGCAGGGGTGGTGAAGTGTACGCGGTTGACGTTGCGCAGGTGTTTTTTCCGGGCCGAGCTGCTGGCGCCCCCTCCTGCGAAACCTCCCGCGATTGTACCGACCATTCCCTGTATGGGAACTGACCCTGCTTCCTGGTATACCCCGGTTTGCGTTGCTCCGCCAGGGGGATGATCAGGGCGTCGCCGCTGGGTGAGTCCTCTTGCTTTTCGCGCGTAGAGCCGCTAGGTCAGTCTTGTTAACGGTCTGTATTGCGGCCAGGTCGACTTCGTGCTTGGCACACATGCCCTGCGGGTCGGCGTCGTGCTGTTGTCGCATCTGTTTGACTTGGTCGATCAGTCTCCTCATGGTTGCAGCGTCGCTGTCCATGGTGATTGAGTGATCTGCGCCGTCTGTCGCGCGTTTACTATGGCTTCTGGTGAGAATCATACAGGTGGCCGATAAGAGCTGTCTTGATCGGTCCCACGGTAGGCACCAAATGTTCTTACCGAAAATCTGCTATAGAGCTGATTCGCCTGGTAAGATCGGTGAGCCTCCTTCACTAGTACGCTGGTACTCCAAGATGGGGGTGATACCTGCAAAAGAGACTCCGATGCTAAAGTTAGTTTTTGCGTGAATATTAGTCTCGTATAAGTAATGCACGTACCTTAGTGTGAATTAGGGTTGCCTTAGGCCTTGGGCCTGAGATAAGATGTAATATGATCAGATAAGGGATCTCGTCTGGGGCGAGATCCTCGAGAATCAGTTATGATTCTGCTCAAGTACCAAGCTGACGTCGTGCAGCGCGTGCTCGAAGTCATCTTGCGTTATGATGCCGAGCTCGGAGCTCGGTTTCGCAATACGGATGGTACAGTAAGTTTTCATATATTTATACGCGAGCTCATCATTAAACTGCCCTATATAATTTTAGAACAAAGTTAATAAAAGAACTTATTCAGCAACCACCCTCCCTCGTCTAGTCTTAATTGGTCAATGCTGTACTCATTCGCTGGGGGAAACGAAATATCATTGCCTTTAATTTTTGGATATCGTAAATAATTTTTATATATAAGTTAAAAAATCTACATTTTACAAAAATGAAAATTATTTAGCTTCTCTAAATAGCTGATTAAGTGTAGCTATACATAAGTTTATTTAATTTTATGGGAGAAAGTTATAATTACTTTTTTTTTTCTTCTTTTTAAGTGTTTAGAGAGAAATTTATTATTTTCCCTTATTTTCTTATTTATATATTAATTATTTAACTTTTACTATAGATAGATCATTTGTAAGTTAATATATGATAGATTCTTACCTATAAATTTTTAACTTTTAAAATTAATTTTCATTTATTATCTAAAATCATTTTTCTTATAAAGTAAGTGATAAAAAAAAGTGTAATGTAAATTAATTTTTTAATGGGACGGATTGGCAAACAACATATGTACAAGGAAAGTAAAGTAATAATTTTGCAGTCTAGCACCAAAAAGAAACAATATATATATGTAACTTTGTTCCAACAAACCTTTGCATTTGACTCACACAGAACGTAATGCCATCATATCAAGGTAAAAATTGCAAAGAAGGCACGTATATAAACAACTCTTTTGTTTTTAGAAATTTATTCATTAATACTATTGCATAAGAAACATCAAAACTTTTTATTTTTTTAGTACAATAACACTATTAAAAGCTTTTTAATTATCAATCAAACGATAAGGTTTATCATGAAACCTTTATGAAACAAACGATAAGGTTAACCTAACTTGGTACAATCAGTAGGAGCGAACGAAACTTTTTTTCCTTCAAGATCATACTCTACTTGAAAATCAAACTGCGCCACGTTCCCAAAGATGGAAAGCCCTTGTTGATTACTGGGCACAATTGCTAAGCAAAACAAGTTGGTGTCCAACTTCAAAAGCATGTTTTTGGGTCTTAGGGAAACGTTAGCTCCTGTAAACTGAAACACAATATCAGGGAAATTCATAGCATCCTTATATCCAAAACAAAGGTTGTAAGGGCTTGGAGGATTTTGCTCTTCCTCAATGACTTCTTTTACCAAAGTCTCAAACTCATTGTATAAAGTTGGTTTAAGCAACGTCAAAGTTGTCCCAGAATCGATTATTATGTTGCCATCGGTGTCACCAGTTTGCACCTTCTTTTGTCCAACAACGATGCTTTCTAGATTGAGGAAGTAAAAGGTAGGAGAAGAAGGTTTGGTAATTAGGGGAGTGGACACAACCCCATCCCCTTTTATTATTGCATCTTCCCCAAATATCAATTTGCTTGTGGAGGGTGAATCAAAAGGTAACAAACAATAGGAGAATTTATTACCAATTTGATCACCTAGTTGTGAAACTAGTGATAATGGACCTGCTCCAAGACCTACTAGTCCTGTGATTTTTCCGTCTGTATCAATTGTGAAAGCATTGTAAGTTCCGCAGCCAAAAATAGACTTGGGAAATTTAACACCTTGGCCACCATCAAAATTAATGGCATCAACACCCAAGTTTCCTTTGGTGAATGATTTGTCACCATATTGATAGAAATACTCGCACTGTCCTGAATTTCCACAACCACGTTGGCGACTAGGGAGTAGTGTGCAAGGTTTTGAGTTGCATGACACAGTCGTGAAAGTGGAGGACTTGTTTGGATCAAACAAGGAAGTGTCTTGAGAAAAACATTTCTGACAAGGCGCACATTGCACCCAAATAAGATCACTTCCTGTGTCAGCAATTGCAAGCCTTTCCACAGGAGGGGTACCAATATAAATTTTCATGAGATAATCACCATGATTTGGAATTATAATTGTTTCGGTTGACTCTTTTTCATCCACAAGGAGGTGATCAACTAGGTTGGATCGAGAAATGGAACGCAAGGCAGCATTTTTTAAGAGATTTGATGGGGTCATTGAAGAATTATAAAAAGGTGACAATGATGAGTCACGATGAATTAGGTCGATGTTGAAGCTACCTAGGGTTTTACTTGCTTCAACGATGGATATTATAGAAAGTGAACATAAGGCTAAAAGGTAGAGTATGAAAGAACACATGTTTGAAGAAACACGGAATAGCTAAGAACTCACTTGTAAGATGGGTTCTTAGAAGATAGGAAAGATGGAATGGTGGGTTCGTATTAATGAAGTGCGCCAATTTATAGACTTTTAGTTACGTACTAATGAAGACAATTTGTTATATGTAATGTTTGATTTGTGTAATATTTTAAGTTAACTTGTTCTTTTTAAATTGACTTAATATTATATTATATTCACTATTTTTCTTCTCGCGTCACAATATCGACGTCATAATGCTAATACGATGATGTAAAATTCAAATGAGATGTTGAAAACTTGAAAGTATGAATGTAATAACGAAATGAACAAATTGCCGTAGCAAAATAATATGAATGTGATATACGTTGCCCTGCATTACATATTCTTATGATATCTTTTCGCACTAATTTTCCGTTCACTTCTATAAAACAAACTATTAGCAAAACAATAATTCTAGTAAGTTTGGAAATCATTGGTCGTCGTCTTCAACTCATTTTTTTTCTTTCTACTTCGAAGTATAACAAACCCTAAAAAAAAACGGCATGAATTATTAATATATATATATATATATATAATATTTCAC